ACTGTGAGCTTAAATCCCAATTAATTAAAAAAAAGTGAATTTTTATTATCTCCCTTGTATTGAGTTCTTAGTAATTATTTAATCTAATTCTAATATTTTTTCTGGTTGATCTATGTATCATTTATTACAACTTGAACGTATGTATTACTAACCTAATCTGGTATTCCTTAAGTTGTTAGAATCAACATGAACGTATTTTATCGATAGATCTCAGAGTTTAATTCTTGCTCACTATTTTTATTAACGAATAGATAATAAGAAATTAAATATTGTATGACGACCTTCATATAAGAATCTTTGTGTATTATTGAAATAATATTATCTACATATTTAACCCAAATTACCATAAGTATTTTTTCAATTTGTTTTAAAACTATCTATTTAAAATTTTGCAATAGATATCTATTTAACAAAAAAATCACAAGTTTTAATATTTTTTGAAATGGCTCTTAATAAACTACGTTATCAAAAATATATTATTTACTTACCAAGTTTGCTTCAACATTTGGATCAATCATCAATGTAATATTGCCTAGATTTGGCTCATTATTACTGTCTTTAGAAAGTGAAACATTTAAATAGTTATCCCTATCATCATGTGATGAAAACTCTCTTCGATTAATGTTGGCAGCCATTCTAATGTTTTAATATAATCTTCTTGTAATAATTTGTATCCAATATTTGTTTTAAATTTAAAGATAATTACGAGAATAATTCAATTACTACTGTATTACGTTGTATTCATGATCAATAATGTACTATCATACTATAACACTAGAATGGCACATTTAATATACCCATAATTCTTTGTTATTAACCATCAATGGTATTTGAATTTAAAGTTTTTTGTAATAGTTCTTTGGAATGGGATAACAATAGAATTTATCTGTGTATTTTAAAGTTATAATTATGAAATTACTAGACTGCAGTATACCGCAATGATTTACCTTGAAAGCAGCTGTGTGAACTTGAAAAAAGCAACAAATGCTCAGAAACACATTGCAGTTGATCATGTTACTTTATCATTTACAAGATATTGTATTTCATTTAATTGTTTCACATCAATGTATCTTATATAAGATTAAATGATTAGCGATTACTTATACAACACTGGTTTGCATTTGATGCAATGCCTATTTTTTAGATATTTATTTATATTTATCATAGAAACACACAATGATGCACAGCTTCAAAAAATTAATAAATTATAATATAATTTTATATTATGTGTTATAGTTTCAAATATTATTTCAACTAACGGGATTAGTCTATCTTTTATAATATATTTTATTTTAGTACAATACTAAATAGCCTATCAACAGTAATTACTGAATAAAAACTGAACTTATTAAAAGAAATATTACTTATTAAGTTAAAGTTACATGAGCAAGTATCCTATTAAGTTATTGTTAAAAATACCTAACTAGTTAAAATGTTAAACCAACTTTTTAGTGCGTTATTTTCCAGTATAAAATGAACTATTATACACGCCATTAATTATTGTAAGATTTTATTGATTTTTTACTGTAATCTTATATGAATTTTATAGACACTGATGAACATTTTTGTATTATGATAATGATTTAAAAATACACAAGAAAACTGTTTTTAACCACTAAAGAAGAAATAAGATTATAAAAATACTTTTATGTAATATTTTTGTTTTTGTATATATGAAGAATGAATGTGTCAAACGTTCTATGTGCCAAAAAAGTGAAAAATTGTTTTATTTCTGATTTATGTTCTATGTGCCAAAGGCCACAATCTTGTATGTGTTTCAAATGTCAATTAAATTTTTTACTTGTACAAAATTGCATTCATAGATGGTGTTCGATATGTAAGACATGCCCATGTTACCATTGTTTTTTGTGTTTTCTGAACAAATATGTTTTTGGCACATAGAACGTTTGACACATTCACTCTTCATATAATAACAGTGTTAAATTTATACGAAGTGATAAATAATTATATAAAAGAACAAGGAAATAAACGCTTTTCTGGAAAATTACTTAGCGTGCTCGGATCTTCAAATTTTCTTTTTTTTTTAACGAAAGTACTCGGTCACCAGACTCCAGGAAAATTAATAGCAAATGTCGTAAAGTTTTGGACGCCATCGTTTTACGACTTAAGGTTTGAAATTTTCAGCAAAATCGCTTAATGACATTTCTGAATTATTATAAAAAAATCGATTCAATCCGTTAATTTTTCACTGTTTTACGAGCTTTTTTTTTTCACACGCTCGAAACTTCAGGGCGCTTTACTACCCAACCCAACCGAAATTCTTGCGAAAATTTACGATATAAAAACGATTTTTTTTTCGATTCGCAAATATACCACGGCCATCTGCAGGTGCCGAAGAAGCGTCAAAAATCCGATATCCGACCAAAACTCTGGCCATTACAAGCGTTTGAAATTCATTAAATTTTAACGAAAAATAACGATTTTTCTGTATGCCAATACACATTCTATTATCTTTATATGTATATTTTTTTAAGTCCACGCGCATGGTTTTTATATAGGCATTGGCTCATTTCTGCGCATATGTTTATTGTGACCCTCAATTTGTAAAATATGAATTATTATAACAATTTAATTCATTATTAATATATGTTATTGTTGTCATATATGAATTGATTGTATTAATTATAACTATCTTTTTTTTGGAGTTTATCGTTAAAATTGGGATCTATTTATGACAACTATGCTGCCCAACGTCAAATCACAGTAACCAATATTCTTATCAAGATTGATTTTTTTATATAGCCTCAAGACTAATAACCTGCCAAATTTTTCTGTTATTATTCTATAATACTAATACAATTATTATAATTTGAAAGGTTACAAATATTATAAAAAGAAGAAAATCTAATTAATTGTCCGCAACGAAAAATTTGTAACTTTCATGGCCGTTGATCATGGTCATCGTTGCCCGTACCTTATAAACTAGGGGAGTTCATTTTTGAAAGGAAAAAAAATACACGAGTCCATTGACGATGAAACACGCAAAAAAAAAGAAAAACATGATTAAGTTAAATTAAGGGGAATTTATTAAGTAAAAAAAAAGAACAAATATTAATAAAAAAAAAATACTAGTTACACCTACACTTTTATTATTAGAGAATACGATGAACGTCTTCGGGTACTCACCGGCTATTAATCATGGCATTACCGCTAAGCACAGCGGGTATACGTCCCAAGTAAGAGACTGGTTTTAGGCAGTTAGACTTAACTTGCAAGACGTTGAGACACCCCGGAATAAAATGCACTAGGTCACCACATTGTACCAATAATATATACATGCATCACCCCATGTAACTATATACCTATATATAAAAAAATATAGATAGAACATGACAGGTGGTCTTGTCACACGCCTGCCATGTTGCGGGGCCTAAACAAATAAAAAAAAACGGTAGCAAAGTGGGGTCGGGGCATAGATGGGACAAGTATAGATGATATCTGACAGTGATTAATATCACTATCATAAGAAACGCTTCGATGCAAATCTGTAGATAGTGTTTCATTTAGAGAAATTGGTGGATTATTCCAAAAGCAACATCAACTCTTATTTCTTTAATTATATCCTGATTAGTAGTTCTTTGATTTTAAAATATAATATATGAATAAATACTAATTATAGTTTTTAAATTTAGTATGAAATTG